ACAAACTATACGTGACTTGCAAGGAATTCCTTATCATTTAATGCTACTCCTAAGACCTTTTAATTTTGATCATAAATTGCGAATATCCTTGATTATCACATTTTAATTACTAGAATTGTGATATATAGACATTAGATATTAATATTAAAAAAAACGAGGAACTGACACTTTGCTTTCATAACGTATCCCTTATTACGTGCTTCCAAACAAAGTAAAAACCGGTGATAAGAGGATCGTGTTCCCTTCTGAAAGTTAACCAATAATCTCCCCATCTGTTTCGTCCTTCAACATCAACTGAAAGAAATGTCTTACACCAGCGTGGCCCGCTTGTATGCCAATGTTAATCAGAACATGCCCCGAGAGTACTGGGATTATGGTGAACCGTTTTCCCCCAGCTTTGAATGACAATCGTTTGATCTGACAGTTGCAATACTTATGCACACACCTTTGACCCTTTTTTTATAGATAATTTACAAGTTCAATGGGGGTAACGTGAAGTTTCATTAACTAATGTTTTGATGGGGAATATATACAGCAATCTGTATTATTATAAACACAGTAAAATAAATTTTTCATTAAACGAAATTTAAGGTCTATATTTATCTGAACCATTTCTTATTTAAATTAGGTTACAAGATAATTATGAAATAGTGCGTAAAATAGGTCGTGGAAAATATTCAGAGGTTTTCGAGGGAGTCAACATTGTGAATAATGAGAAATGTGTTATCAAAGTTCTTAAACCGGTAAAGAAGAAAAAGATCAAACGTGAAATAAAGATCCTGCAAAACCTGGCTGGAGGTCCAAATATTGTTTCGCTTTTGGATGTTGTGAGGGATTCTCAGGTAATAATAGTTGATTGTAATAACGTATTAGGGATTACGCAATATATATGTATATATATTCCGTAAAATTCTTTCTAGGGTAGAAAAATTAGCAATCTGATTTAACCTTTACTTGTACATAAGGACCATCGACTTATTCAATTGACCTAGTAAATTTTTGGATATAAATACAAAAACGATAGTTGAACTAATAATATCACATCTTCTGACTTATCTAGTCCAAGACGCCATCTCTTATTTTCGAATATGTAAACAACACTGATTTCAAGGTGTTATACCCAAAGTTTACCGATTACGACGTTCGCTATTATATCTTTGAGCTTTTGAAGGTACAGCGTGGATTCTCATACCTTTCACATTTCTAGAGAATAATTAATGTTAATGCAGAATTTTATTTTGTAAAGGCATTAGATTTCTGTCACTCGAAAGGTATTATGCACAGAGATGTGAAACCGCATAACGTAATGATTGACCATGAAAAACGCAAAGTAGGTGTTTGGATTCAATGTTATCCTGTTGACTGCGAATCACGGTTTGACTAACATTGTAATCATAGTTGAGACTGATAGATTGGGGTCTGGCCGAATTTTACCACCCTGGAACTGAATATAATGTACGTGTTGCCTCAAGATATTTCAAAGGTCCGGAGTTGTTAGTGGATTTCCAAGAATATGATTACTCGCTCGATATGTGGAGTTTAGGTTGCATGTTTGCTAGCATGGTATGCACCATTATCTTGATATTCTCACAGACGATTAGTTGTCGTTGGTCGTTGACAGAATGAATTATCCGATAATGCGTATTCACAGATTTTTCGCAAAGAACCGTTTTTCCATGGACATGATAATTATGATCAATTGGTAAAAATTGCAAAGGTGCTTGGCACTGATGAACTGTTTGCATACCTTGATAAATACGACATAGAGCTGGATGCTCAATATGATGAAATCTTGGGAAGGTAGATTAATGTAATTCACATGAGATCTTTTTTTCCTTTTCTATTCAAAGTTAACCGATTTCCCTCTAGATATCAACGAAAACCATGGAACAAATTCATTACCAACGAAAATCAAAAATTTGTCACAAAAGAAGCAATCGATTTTCTCGATAAATTGTTACGATATGACCACCAGGTTCTTTCTCGATATCCTTCGTTGTGTTTTGATTAGCGTTTTTTACATTAACCTGTGTTCTCGTTATTAGGAACGGTTGACACCCGTAGAAGCCATGGAACATCCTTATTTTGGTAAAAAAAAATGCACATTCTCTCGTACTTCTAAATGATTCCGCAATGTCTCATGATATTTTCAATTTCATCCGTAGATCCGGTAAAACAACAATCTCGAGCTGAAGGAAATGGAACTCGAGCATAATTTCTGGGTTTTCAGAATAGTCAAAACTGTTGATGCTGAGATCCAAATGGACAATGTAAAATTTATTAAATCGTGTTATGGAAAATGTTGATCGCACGAGGCATAAAAGGAATAATGGGACATGTTGTTTTAAGGAAAAGTGTAAAATGGTTTATTTCTTAAATGAGTTCCTCCAAAAATTTTTTGTATAAGTACTTTATTCTTTCTTTCTTTTTTTCTCTTTTTTTTAAAAAAAAAAAAAAAAAAAAATGCACAATCATTAATCGTTGAGCAGAAACTACTTTTTCTTCGATGTATCGCACCTCAAACATTCTAAATCAAGATTACCATTAGTTTATTTATTTATTTTGAGAAAAAATACTATGATCATAACAAACGATTCGTGATACCGCATGTCGTAATCATGCCATAGTAATAATAATAATAATAATATATTTAGGCTATTCTCTGCTTGACATCGAAATCTAATTTCATTCTTGCGATTTTTCTAAAACCAATAATCTCTCGAATAGAGTTTGGTTGAATTTTTCGACAAATTTAGGGCTGGTGAACGACAACAGTGCATCCATGGTTTCAAAGGGTTTATTAATGCATTTATTTAAATTTTCGATGATTGGACCCTCATTTTTTTTCGAATAATCTATATCTGTGATCTGTAGTGAAATGGTTATTATATTAGCATAAGAACTTGAACATGAGCAGAACTTTACGTGAAAAACTTATGTACACACGGTAAATCCGAATTCGGTAATTGTTATTATTAACTGAACGTTCTCGAGCAATCCTATTTGAAATTTTGCTGGTTCTTTACTAAGAATCTTTATAGAATTTGGGACAATGCCATATTCATATTCTTTCAAAATGTTACTTAGCTCTTGGGAGACAAAATCTGGAGAAGTCATTTTTCTATTCTCGATTTCCTAGTGGGACAAGGACATTGATTTCCACGTTACTTCACGTGCTCAAAGTCTCGTGATCCGTATGTAATATCAATACTTTAAAATACTTCCTATATTGGTTAGATTAAATAATGGATTTTTTAATGTGATAATTTGCGAGTGCACAAATATTTGTTGGGAAAATACAGAAAGTTAAAGGCGAATGAATCATTAACAATGGTTTAATTGGCTACGCTTGTTGCCTGTTATCAGATATCGAGATAGGTTATTATGTACAAGAGTTTAACTATAACAAAGCTAATTTACAAATTTTTTTTCGTTGCATAAAATTACAATGTTCGAAGAAAAAAAACAAAAAAAACGCGCAATTCAAATTTTTAATCGCATATCCTCCTTTTCACCACCTGAAACACTTCATAATCTTCCACTGCAAAGATACCATTCTTCCCACCCCAGGAATCTCTATGAAATATATCGCCCACGCTTTGTTCATAGGATTCTTTATTACATGAGCATGACCCGGGTGTGTTGAATTGATCCAACATCCACAAGTCACCATCACCAAAGCATGGCCCGTTGCACTGGGAATCATTTATGGCGTATGGAGCGAATGATGGTAATACTCGACCAAATTTGGCTAACAATTTATGCTTGTAATCCGTATTAAATTGAAATATAAAGCTATCACGAGTATATCTCCAAGTGTTGGTAGAACACCATGAGAGAGGGTTGTAACCGCCGATCACATGTTTTTCATCAACTTTAAGAACAACGATTGTTGGACCTTGGTTGTCACATCGATCGTGAAAAGTTGAGGCGGAGAATCCATCTCTGCTTCCTCTTAACAGTAATCTAAATTCATATTGAAGTTCACCGACGTACGATATCAGAGAGGTGCTCTCGCAACCATCAATCCAAGAAGCTATGAGCGCCGCGTGCTGTCGTTCGATCATGGTTGATTCGATGCCTTTGTACCTTCGGGATTGCAAGTAATCAGGTTTAAGTTGCATGCCGACTTTAAAGTGAAATCGTTTCAGGTCGTCGTATAATTCAGGTGGGAGGATTTGTTTGAATGGTCGAATCTTATTGTAAAATTCTGTCGATGTCATTTGGAAGAATCTTATGGAAGGGAGTAAATCCTCAAGAGTTTCGCGCAAAGTTGCGAAATCCTCGGGGGACCACTTGTTAATGTCAATGGTGAGATGCGAGTTCTGCGCAATACCCCACTCCAATAGGTGGTCCCAAATGACAACTTCTTCTATCTCCAAGTCACTGCGTTCCAATATAGAGGCCAAGACCTCTTTCTCGAGGAGTGTGAAATCTTTCGCCTTAAATATTATTTGAGGTTCTTCACAGATTGTCACCAGACAGAACGCCTGCAATCCTTTGGCTGATTCAAGTTGAAATACTGTACGCTGCACCTGAGCAAAATTTCGTTGGAGCCAGTCCGACTTATTTCTGAGCAAAAATTCCTGAATGTGATCGTGAAGTTCATATAGTAATAGTTCATCGGATGCAACCAACAATTTCAAGAGATCGACCTCCTTCTGCTGTTCTAGAGTGATGTTTCCCGTATACATGAATCTGATAAATACGAAAAAAATAAATCTTCCATTTAGTCAATGATTCAAATTATAATCTACGCGAAAATGTCAACGCACATACTTTAGAATTAAAGAAAAAATGGCAGGTGAAATATTCGGTTTACTGAAAATCATGATGCCCCCTTCTTTCTTTGCCCAATCGTTGGATAGGGCCGTGCGAAAATAAGGTGATCTGGCTCTCAACACCACCGAGTGGGCATGGAAAGAAGACACACCGGAAGAATCGTCGCCAACGTTAATCAAAACATTGTAATCATCCGAGTCCTCCAGGATATTTCCAAAATCTTGAGATAGCGATGACCAAAATTTCGACATTTTTCATATACTTGTGAAGAAAGAAGTTTCGTGGAGTGCGCGATAGAGAATTACTAAAATATCCAAAAAAAAAAAACCAAAAATCATAAAGGCGTCTATTTATTTATCCTCAATTGTAAGGGTAATTTAAGCATAATGACAATTTTGGTAGACTCTAACAATCTGTATTACTTCCTTAATAATGTTAGTGCGTGTGCAACGTTTGCTGTGGCAAAAATAAATATTACGTACGCATACTTGACACTTCCCAGTTTTTTTTTTAAGTTCAATAAAGCATAAAAAGAAATTCTTTTATGATTACTCTGTTTAAAACTGATCTGTTCGTTCCCTTTGTTGAACCACACCATTGTTTGTTTACATTAAACCTCTTTATAAACCATTTTCTAATAAACGCCAATTTCGTTGATATTTCGGTTTCCGTTTATGGTTATATACTGTATAGTCCACCGCATTAATGATGTCGTTTCATATTTCATACCCGAATTGTGTGTTTTTGTTCTGATCCCGAAGCACACAAGATTTCACATATTTCACATATGGGGAATTATACATGAGATGCATCTACAGTTGCCCCGCCAACCATAATAATAGAATGGTTTGGCCAATGACAACAAGATTCCAAATTCTGGTCATTATTTAAAGTTTCTTTAATTTTTATAATTATGTATGGCCATGATCAAATTTTTTCATTATGTTTGTTTTTTTTTTTTTTTTTTTTAACAGCACAATGTACTTTCTTTATTTGTTTAAGTTTTGAAATAACAGATAGTGTAAATTAAATGATTTACATACATATGTATATTTGTAGGTGAAGATGATTAACACAAAAAAAAATAAATATTTAATAAATTCATTTATATAAAAAAAAAAAATAATAATTTCTTAGTGGAATGATCAATTGTATTCTATATACGGTATCCAGGAAAAGTGCACTTTCTTGGGAACCATGTGAAAATAATTTTTTTTTTTTTGGAAAATTGTATATTTGGTAAAGACCGTGTCGAGAATTTAAAATGTACACGTTTGTATTTATTTTATTATACGGTATTACGTATTATTCTGCTATAAAAATTTTATAGCAGTAGTAAAAAAAAATTTTTGATTTTAAAATTATATACAATATAATACATTTCATAAAAATATTTCTTGATTCAAAACAAGTGATTTTTTTTACTATTACTACAATAATATATCGCGCAAGTTAATTTTATAGAAATTTAATAAATATTTGCTATATACAATGTTTCTTAAAATCATTCTTCTGGCTTAAAATAACACGTTCCCTATATTTTATACATTTCTAGCACCCGCCATTTTACCCTCAACAATTAACTAATCGAATGAATTATTAATTCCATCTATGATAATGAAAATAAATATATTATCATTGCTTTTTTTAGTATTAAATTTACATGAGTCAATTAAACGTGCCGATCCTGTTCCGCTAATTTCCAAGTTCTCACGCAGAACGTCTACGAAAGTCGCGTGCTTAAATTATACAATGACTTTATTTAGCCTCGTGAAGCCGATGTTGATGCCTTGAAGGAACATCCGTGATAAAAAACATTCGCATGTTTCCTAGAAAACAAGCACCTGGCTCTATAGACATCCTCGATGCTACTCGAGGATTGAACGGGAGTTGATTAAGTATTGAAAACCCTTCTGGAACGTGTCACAATGTCGAACTTGGAAAAAAAAGAATGAGATTCAGCAACTAAAATTGTTGGAACATCCTAAGATCCTAGTTGGAAACAACAAAGAAAGCCTAATACGGAATAATACTTGACCATTATTTTTTATTTCAAAAAAAAAGAAGAAAGAAAAATTATTAGTTTGAAGTTTTACTATTTGGTGTTCAAATGACTCGTGCTACTTAAAATATTTTTTTAAACCAGCGATTTGTGCAACATTACTGACACACTACTTATAACTTTTTTTTCCACTAATCGAGGGTAAGGTCTCTCTACTCCCATTTCATACTCTCTTCATTGTCATCTCGACTGTTCGCAAGAACATGACCGTCGACTCCGTCCACTTCATCTTGATCATCACTCGTCCGTAAACCTAGGGCTCTGGTTAAGATGAAGGGTGTCCATCGAAGATTTTCGGGTTTGATTCTTGGGTAGCCCTTTGCAGTTACTTTTTGCAAATGATCTTCGATAACATCGGTTTTCACAATTATGCAATATGCGCCACTACTCTTATCCTTCTCGATCATGTTATTGATTTGGAGGGTGGCAATAATATCATCGACGGTCATACTTGTCTTATGACTTAGCTCTAAAAATGACTGTAATTAAATTTAAATCAAAAAATATCAAATTGAAAAAAAAAACTTTTTATTACCTTGAATACTCAGAGTCTCTCGGGATTGATTTAACTCTTCAAAAAGTACATTTCTCCAATAGTAGCGATAACTGAGTAATCCAAGATCAGATAGAGGTTTTTCGGGAGATCCGGTTTTATTTTCTTTTTTCGATAACAGGTAACCTGCATGGAGATTAAGTCATAAGAGTACCCCTTAAAATAAAAATTCCACAAATTCTTGGACACTTACTAAACTCAATCAATAAATTCCCATATCCTTTTCTCTGATGAATGGGGAG